AGCATTTTATACCACTTTTTTAGTAATTACTTTAAGTTATATAAGGTTTTTAAAAGCAAGCTATATTTACTAGTAATTTTACTATTCTTAAGTAATTTAATAAAAATCTTTTTAAAAAAATTTATGTATAAAAAAATAATAATAATATTAAAAAAGTATAGTACCTAGCTATAGCAGGCAGCTAGCATAATAAAAAATTTAAAAAATATTAATTTAGTAATAGCTATATATACTTTATAAATTTTATAATTATAGCTAATAATTTAATAAAAGCTTTTAATAACTAGGCAAGCTTTATAGGTGCCGTTATATTTAATTTTAAATACCTATTTAAAATTAAAAAGGTATATTTTTTTTTAATAATTAATAACACGCCACGTGCTATTAAAAAAATAATTATTTAGCTTTTTATAAATAACTATATATTATTTATTTACCTTTAAATAAGAAACTATATTTATATATATTTTTAGCTTATAGCCGGTATTATTTAAGGTTTTAAAAGCAAAGTTTTATTTATCTAGTTTACTAAAGTTTACTATAAAAATAATATTATTAATAAAGTTATTAAGGGTAAGCTTATAATCCATAAAAAATCACGCAAAATAATTTAAAAAAAGATTAAAATTATATATAAAAAAAAGTTTATTTATACTTATTAATTTAAGGTACTCTTTTATAATTTAACTTAGCTTTTTTAAATAATTTAAGCAGTGTATCTTACTTTTTAAAAGTAAAAAATACTAGGTATTAGCCCCTAAGGCGCGGGTGCGCCTTGCTAGGCTGTTATAATTTTTATTAATTATTTTTAAATTTTTTTTTTAAAAAAAAAGGGGGGGGTTTAAAGCAGGATAATATTAAGGCTTTATATTATATAATTTTTAAATTAAAAAGTTTAATATAGGTATTAAAAAAATACTAGTTAGTTAGTATTTTTAAAGCCACTCCAGGTTATAAGTAGTATTATTAAAAAGGTTTTTTTAAAATAGTTTTTTTTATCCTAGATTTGCCTTAAAAGGTTAAGAAATTAGGTTATAAAAAATAAAAATATTTTTATAAAAATTTAGTAAAGTTTTAAAGCCAGGGGGCGTATATTTTTATTTTTAAAAATATAATTTTTTTTTATTTATTTTACTAGTAACAAGGCGTGAAATATTTAAATTATATTTATTTATAAGTAGCGGGAGAAAGGTGCTTAACTTTTTAAAAATAATATTATAAATAGTAACTTATTTTAATTTAAGGTTATAAACTTTATATAAACTTTTAAAGTATTTAATAAAGCAGCCCTTGGCTATATAAAGGTTAATTTTTATTTTATATATTTTTTTAAAAATAAGGTAAAAGTATTTATATTCTAGCACGTGCTAGTAAAAAATATTAGGTTATATTTTATTAAGTGCTTTATAGGGCGTTTTACTAATAATTTTATAATAAAAATAGTTATAAATATAAATAATAGCAAGAACTACGTAATCCTAAAAAAACTTTAAAAGTTAGTTTTTTATTATAATAAATATAACTAGTTTAATAATATAATAATTTTTTACCTTAGTAATTAGGTTTAGTGCTAAGTAATATTTTAGTGCTAAATTAAAAATAATGCTATAGTTTTTATAATATAACTTAAGTAGTTAGTGTTTTAAAGTGTTATTATAGTAAATATACTTTATTTTTAACTTTAGTTATATTTACAGCTAGTTGCGGAGTTAAAGGAATTTTTTAAAAAGTTTTTTTTTTTATAATAAATACCTAGTAAAACTAAAAGGCTTTATTAATAAATATAATAAAGTATAAGGCGCTTATTTACCCGTGTATTAATATAGGCCTGTAAATATTTATATATATAATATTACCTGGCTAGCGGCTAAGATTCTTAATTAAATTTTACTTTATTAAGGAAAGTGCTATTTTTTTACTAATAATATATAGCTTATATTATTTAACTAGCAGGCCTTTATATAATTTAAGGCTAATAATATACTAAAAAAAAATTTTAATTTTTTTTTAAAGGCGTGGGCAGCTTAATAGTAGGCTAAATATATAAAAATTACCTTATTAAAAACCTTTACCCTGGCTATTATTAAACCCTTGGGTAGAATTATACTTTAACTAAATATAAAGGTATTTATAAGGGTGGTAATTACCTTAAAAAAAGTATTAATATTTAAATAAAAATAATAATAGGATTTAAGCAAGGTGGTAAATATAACTAGGGATTTATACTATATAAGTTTAATAGTAATATTAATATTAAATATTATATAAATATTATTATTTATAAGCTATTTAATTAATAATAAATTATAAGTTAAGCTAGGCGCGTACTAAATATTTTTTAATAAAAAACTTTTAATTTACTTTATACTAAACTTATTAATAACGCCTAATATAATATTACCATAGCCTTTAGTAAAAAACTTATTATTATTAGTTATTTTAATTAAAACTTTAGTATATTTAAATAATATAAAGTTATACTTAAAGTATATTATATAATAAAAGGCACTAAAGTTAAGTATTTAATTATTATTAACAGCTAGTTTAATATTTATATAAGTTAATTTAATATAAAAATCTAGCTTATTAGCGTTAAAATTTAATTATATAAATATAAAGTTCATGTATATAAAGTTAAAGTTAATATTAATAATATTAGTGCCTAAAAAGGCCTATAAAGTATTAGGTAAAGGTGCTAATAAGGAACCTTAAATTAATCCTTAAGCTAATCATTATAAAGCGCTGGTAGTGGTATTTTTTACTTATATAATATTTATAAAGGCGGAGGTGCTACAGCCTTTTTTACCTTTTTTTTATAGTATTTAAATTTACCGCCGTGGTTTTAATAGGCGCTAGCACTAGTATTTTTAAAGTTATTACCTTTATTTTATAACTAGGCGTTTACTAGATTTTTAATATAGGTAAAAAAAAAATAATTATTATATAACTAGTAATATATACACTATATAGTGCTATAATTCTTAATAAGAATAAAGTTATTATAACTAGGGCGGCTAGTAATATTAATAATATAATAAGTAATTTTAAATATTTATATCTAGTTAAGTTTAAATTATAAAAAAAGTAAATAAATATTATTAATACTTTAATAAAATATTATATATAACTAAGTAATAAAGGGCTATATGCTATATAAGCTAAAAATTATTATAATAAAAAAATATTATATAGCTTATTAATTAAGGGTTTAAATAATTACTAGCTTAATAATAGTGTTTTTAAACTTTATAAAAAACTATTTTAGTTACTAATTAGTATATTTTATTATATTAAGTATTTACTAGCTTTTTAAAAAAAACTAGTGCTAAATAAGTTATATAGCTTTTATAAGTAATAAAAGGCTTAAATAATACTTTAAAGGCTAAAATTTAGTTTATATATTATATATAAAATGTTAATTATAAAAATTATAATAAAAAAAAATTATACTATATTTAGCGCCCTTGCTTTACGCTTATTTTAATATTTTAAAAAGTTTAAATATTAATTTAATTTTTAATAATAAGCTTTATAACTTAATTATAAGCTATATTATTTTTTATTAATATATTTTATAATAATAATAGCTTGCTTTAGTAAATACTTGTAAGAAAAGAAAACTTTTTTAATAATAATAAGCTAAAAATAAAATAATTTAAATTAAAATGCAATTTTAAAGAATTTATGTTATAAATAATAATTTTTTTAATTATTAAGTTATATAATAACTTTATAAAGGTTAAAAATAATAATAGTAATATTAACCATGCTATAAATAAATTTTTATATAGCCTTAATATATAAGGGTAGTATAAAAGTTATATAAAATAAGTAATTAAAAAATTTATACTAGGCAGCTAAAAATCCTAATATTATATAAAAATATTTTTAACTTAATAAGTATTTAAAGTAAATAAATTTTAAAAAAAAATAGTAATAAAAAAAGTAATTATATATAAATAAATATAATATTTTAATAAAAGGAGCTACCTAAGGTATATAACCTTTTAAAAATAAAAGCTTAAAAATTATATTTAGCTAGGCTATAATAATAAAGCTATACTTAGTATAGCTAACTAAGCTAATAGGCAAGGGCTATAATAGGGCAAGCAGTATACTATACTCCAACAATACTGTCTTAGCATCCTAAGGCTAAAGCTTAGGTTACCTAAGGCACTAACTCTAGAGTGCCCCTAGGATGGCTCTGGTAATATTAAATAGAAAAATATTGGCCATGACAATAAAATAAAATTATAATATTATAAATAATAATAAATCTAGCTAAAAAAATCTATATATAGAATTTCTAATAGAAAAATAATATATAATAATACTAGCCCCTTTAAGCAAAGCACTAGGAACAAAGCTAAATCTGGCTAGGGGCTTCCAGTGGCTTTTGCAGCCTACCAGACCTCCACTCCAACAACTTCTTTAATATACCTATCTATAAAGGAAAATCATCTAGCTCTCCCAGACTTATCATGTATCTTGTCTAAACCTTGAGGGCATCCTCCTCGAAGTTCCACGGAGTATTCGATGATATACTGGTACTATTCAGCCCGGTAGATACCTACGGATGCTTAGCCTGTCGGTGTCCTGTCTAAGTCGGCCCCATTATTTTGAAGCTCTGTTAACACGGATAGAGAATACCTCGGCAGACCTAAGTATGCTATTGGCTTTATTCAAGAGGCGGGAAAATCAAGAATAGCCGGGTTAGGTTTGAGCTTCTAAGTGGATTTTTTTTATCATGGTATGCTCTGTGAGCTCTGTCATTAAATCAACCCTTGGAACTTTGACAACAGAAGACCCAAACAAGCCCCGAGGTTGGTATGATTGTAGCACATCGGCACTGGAATATGCCTACCTGACTCGACTTGTAAGAGACATTCCGTAGCGCCGACTCGAACAATGGGATCAAAGCCCAGTACATGTCTTAGGTAATACCGGGAATCAACAATGCAACCGTCCCTAAAAGAACTCTATAAACAACTTTAGAAAAGTTAACTCCCATAAATAAATCCAGACCCAAGCCTAGTGCCAACGGGAATAGTATTATTATTCCCCCCGTCCACAAAATCCAGAACTCCCATTTTAGCCGCATGGTTATCACACTGGTAAACATAGTTGATCGTAACCAGGCACCCGTCCTCCCTACGCCACGAACCACACTTCGAACAGCCCCCGATGTTCCGAATATCCTGATACGCATTCCACATATCGTTCCCGCTGATCGTGCAGGTCGAGTCGCCCTGGATGAAGACGCCGCAGCCTCGCGTCTGATCGCCCCAGCAGTTTCCGCTCAGGGAGCCGGCGCTGTGGCGGATTAGTACCATACCATATTTGAGGGGGACACCCTGTGTAAAAGAGTGATGGAGGAGGGACTCACCCGGCTCTATAGAACGGGTCGTCATCGCGATACAGATAGTTTACAGCATGGTCGCACCAGGCCAACAACCCCGGCGTCGTGCACATGCTCGACCCCTTACAGTCGTAAGCGCCGGGGTCCGGCTGGAAGACGTTAATGAGCGGGTTGTATCCCTGCGCCTGGACGACGAATTTACTCGTGTCGACGGTCGATGTCCCGAGCGGCAACGTCCACTTATACGTGTAGTCCGTGATCTCGAGGGTGATGGAGCCCATGGATGACCAGGACCAGGGCGGGGCCGTGGAGCCCTCCGGTAGCGTGCCGCTATATTTGTACAGCGTTGTGCCCTCGACCATGTAGTGAGTGCAGACGTACTCGTCGACCTTGAAGTTGACGCTCCACCCGGGGTCCGAGTCGAAGTCGCAGCCCACCGAGTCCCAGATGTACAGGCGGATGAAGGCGTAGGGGACTAAGATGTCCGCGGTGAATGTGGTGGAGTCTGGGCCCGGAGACGCCTTGTAGTTTGTGATGGTGTTCCCGCCTGGTAGAGACTTCGTGCTGACGGTTACCGTGTTGGAGGCGGTGCCAAGGGTTCCGCTGCCTCCTACGGCATTGACGTGCAGGGTGTAGCTTGTTCCGGAATCCAGGCCGCCGACTGTGAGGGACGTCATGGAGCTTGGGACGCTTGCTATGAGCGTGGAGCCTGAGTAGAGGTTGTAGCCGAGGGCGTTGGAGGCGGAGTTCCAGGAGAGCTTTGCGGAGCTGTAGTCTGAGTCCTGGACTGAGAGTCCAGATACGGCACCGGCACTGCCCTTTGATGGCCATGAAGATGCATCCTTGTTCAGCAGCGACCCGCCGTCAATTGCATCCATCATTGTCTGGATGTAGGACTCGCCGGGTAGGGTGTCGTAGGGATTAGGCATCACGTCACTGGTGATTTCGATGAACGAAGCTCCGCGCTTTTTAGCTAGCTGGGCTACCTCAGCCACCGCGGACTCAGGAACGTCGTAGATGATATGCCAGAGCTTGCGGGGGTCCTTGGGCGTCCAGTCGTTGGGCGTGTATGAGTTTTTGTACGCATCATAGGACAGCTCGAAGGTAAGCAAGGTATCCATGGTATCCTCGTAGCAAGACGCCATAGGTGACCCGGGATTCAGAACTGTAAATGCACCAGGATGCTTGCGTTTGGTGTAGTTGTTGATATACTTGTAAAGGTCAACGTATTCATTGTTGCCACCACATTCAGGCCAGCCCTCATCGAAGAAAATCCCGCCTATATTATCGCCGTACAACGTGTACCACATATCGATGTCCTCCTCAATCTGTGCGGTCCAGTCGGCGAGATTTCCCGAGCCCAACCGCGTCGTGAATTTCTGCGTGCTCACCCCGAGATATCCGGTTCGCACGTAGCCGAGCACAGTCTTCCCAGAGGCTGCACCTCGAGTAATAACGTCCTCCCAGTCCGAGTCGACTGCCGAGTCGGGGCCGTTCACGACGTTGGCGACGAGGATGGGCATCTTGTCGGAATCGTACGCGATGAGCCGGTTCCAGGCGGCAGGGTCGGCAAGCGGGTTGATGTACGACGCCACTGCGATCTGCTGCCCTTTGCCTCCGGACGGAAGACCCGTTGATCCAGAGCCAGCAGTAAACGTCCTCGTAGCTGTCGTCGTAATCGTCGATTGTGCGTTGCAGCTGGTAACTGTGGAGCAGGTCGTCGTGCAGTCGAATTGAGGCGCCCATGAGTGCACTGCGCACTCCGCGCCGCATTGTACAGCAGTCTGAAGAGGGCATTTTGTAGCGCTGGGCCCACCGCGCAGCGAGGCGGCAGGGATGATGTTGCTTGAGGCGATATTCCCGTTATTGAAGTAGAGCCATGACAGGGCGAACGCACCAACAGCCAGACCCTGAAGCTCGCCGGGGGTAATGGCCGCGTTGAGCCTTGTTGCAGAGTTCAGCGCCCATCGGATAACCGTGTTGGCGGCGGCGACAACCTCTGCATTGGTCCATGGGAATCTTGCCGGATTCATAAGGAGCCAGTTGGGGAATCCGTCGCGGTTGATGCCGTCGGCGAGGATGTTCTGGGCGCCACATGCAACGCTGCTGAGGTCGACATCGCGTGTGTGGATGGTGTTTGAGTTGAAGAAGTCGTCGCCCACGTCGCAGTTGGTGTTGTCAGAGGCGGAGAGGAGCAGCTTTATGTGATCGGCAACATCTGCTTGGAGCTGGATTTCCACGTCTCCAGCGCTCCCTCCGTGTCCGGCACTTGCAAGGGTCGTAATGATGGCTGGGGGGCTGGGTGGCGGTTAGCTATGGAGGTAGTGCCTCGAGTAGAGGTCACGGGAGGACATTCTCACCCAGTCGCTTTGTCCTGCTCCGGAGGAGCCGTGACCGTCATTCCGGAGCCTCCTTCCGTAACAATAACGATAGCAGTGGCTGTCTCCATATTGAAAGAGTCCTCCAGTTTGGCCGGGGGAATTACAAGCGGCTCCGGAATATACTGCTCCTCCTTCTCGTAGAAGAGCGGGTATAGTAACCCGGCAATGACGGCACCTCCGGCCGCGAGCCAGCCCAGTTGGCGCTCCTCCAGGCTGCGAGTTGTAAGCACATTGTCGGTGTCCTCGAGAACATCCATCACGGCTTGGTAGCACCCCGAATTGACCTCCGCGCAATTGCCGTCCATCGCAGACTTGAGGCTGGCCTCCATATCCGGGGACAGGAACACCAGGATCCCGTTGTCGGCTGGATCGCCCACAGCAGTGACATCGATCACGGATCCTGAGAGACTGGGAAATGGGACCTAAAGAATGCAAGTGTTAGACCTCTTCTTCTTGTTTGCCTTTCTTTTATGACGGAATAGGGAGACAAACTCCATTTGTGGTGTATTGCGCGAGATCGCCGACGTAGAAGTAATCATCATCAGCACTGCAATAAGATGATAAAGTGAACAGAATAACAAGAAAAGAAGAGAACACCATTGCTTCCAACCGATGGATAATGCGTCAAGCTCTCGATCAATTGATAGAGACTGTCCAGGTGTACACCTTATATATGTCTCTGGAAGAAGGGAGCTGTATACCTCTTTCCTTCCTCATTTTGTTCGCATAGTGACCTAGAACAAAGACGTAGAATGTTCCGATGGCCAAGAATCGATCTGGATACTATACTAGCGTTGTAGACATCGCTTAATGGTAGAACCCTTTGGCGCTCAAGCTAGCAGTTAGGGCATGGAACGGCTTCCCGTAGAGCCCCTCAGGGGTAACATCGTGTGAAAAAGCCAATTGGCAGACTCACCATAATCTCCGAAGCTTCAGTTGGTCAATATTTGAGAACACTAGTTTGATGAGCTACGGAATACAGTGAGGCTGGACTGTTATGATCTCTCCGGCCCCTGAGGCTCCTAGCATAGCCTGGCTAATGATGAGCCCGAGGCTAACAGACATGTTTTAAATATCTGGCATTCAGTCTACATAGCAGTTGGATAGGTGGTTAAAGGCCATTCATCCTATATTCCGTCCCAGTGTTAATGATATTCTTTGTTCTATCAGTGTCCCTATGGAGCAACCGAACGAGGCTCTGTACTCTCGGCATCCATGGCTGTTTCGACAAAAGTCCGAAGATGAGCTGGAGGGGCAGTCAAGACCCTAGGGTACGTTTCGATCGGCTATCGGAGCGGATCTAGGGTCCTTAGCCGATTGGCCAATATGGAACTGTCACAAGACACCGTGCGCATGTGAACTATCTGTCTTTTCGCTACCTCCTACCATCCCCATCTCTCATCTCGCTCAAGTTTCCATCTCACCACATCAACCGGCTATCCGGCATCTTGTTACAATGGAGCCTGACGATGCCTTCCACCGAGCCTTTTGCCGCGCCTGCCGCTTTGGCGACCTGCCAAGCACCCAGGAAGCCATCGCGACCGGCCGCTTAACCGTCGAACAGCTTAACGAGGGCCTTAAGTACGCAACACGAATGCGGCAGGTTGGTATTGCGACGCTACTTTTTGATGCTGGCGCCAGCGTCTCAACCTGGACAGTGGACTCTCTCCCCGGAGAGTACCTCCAGCAGGACCCTCGCATTGTTCGCCTCTTTCTTGAGCGTGGCCTGGACCCCAACGCGAGGCTCTCCACCGGCGAGCCTCTACTCCCGTACGTTTGCCTAACAGGCAATGCCTCGGCGGAGAGCTAATTGACTAATTTGACCAGGATGTTTTCGAATCCCGAATGTGCGGCCTTATTGCTCTCGGCCGGGGCAGACCCTAACCGGCCCGGCGCAAAAGGGATCCCCCCTATTGCCCGTGCCATCGTGGGCACCAGGGAGCCAAGCACTTCCCTGATTGAGCTCTACCTCGCACACGGCGCAAAGCTAGAATCAACTCTCCTCTTCTATTCTCTCATGCCGCGCGTGCCCCAGCACGAGCTGATGACCCGGTTCCTGCTGGACAAGGGCGTGGATCCGAACGTTACCTCTAACGACTGGGGCACGCCTCTGCACCTTGCCGTGAGAGTCGGCAAGGTTAATCTCGCTAAGATGCTACTGGAGGCGGGTGCGGACCCCACGGTTGTATCATGCGGCAGGAAAATCGGTAGCTTGACCCCTGCGCAGGTGGCGGAGGAAGACTCGCCTGTTGAGACCCGCGAGGAGATACTCCGTCTCCTCGAATCTTACTCTGGCCAACCTTAGATTCTAGATAGCCAAGCTAGCGGTGTATGGAAGGTGGCATTGCTTAGGTTTTTTTCGGCTTCTCCGAATACCGCGGAGACAGGCGGAAGGGGCCGCCGGGATTGTTTAGTGTGGATCTTGAGCCCTAGGTGGAGCCCTGCTGGAGAGCCGGGTCTATTTCCTAATACAGAATCCGCAATTTCTATCAATTAGATAACTGCGCAAAGTTGATGTTAGTACACAAGCAGTTGGTATAGGATAGCCAGACCCTGCTTCAACTCTTGGTTGCACACCCTCCCTATAAGTGTAGCTAGTTTCGCTCGCAACAAAATGTCCAGAGCACTTGGGATCAATACACAACGCCTTCTTTCTTAACCCGTTCAAAAAAGCGTGCCCCTTGCCAGCTGAAACATGCGGTTACTGTTACCCCTGGCATGGCTTGCCCTGTCAGCCTCTGCCAACGTGTTCAGTGCCGGTAAGCATCCCAGGGATAGTCTCTTCAGCCGCATGCCTTTACTAACAACGAAGCAGGAGATACCGACGTCTCCCAGCTCGAACAGCGCACACCACACCTGGCCAAACGCTCCTCCCGGGGAAAATGCGGGCCCATCTTGGCATCATCGGCCGACACGGCCATGGTCCCGGACACGCTCAGCGCCAGTGCCTCGCGCAATGTGTCACTGGGCTACATCCGCTTCGAGCGCAATGGCAGCTCCCCGCACCCGGTCAGCATCCACCTGGGAAAGCGCATGGAGCTGCCAAACAAAGACATTGGCGCGTTCTACGCCAAAGAGCTGCCCAACGTCAGCGCGCAGATTGCCCCGGAAGTCGAAGGAGCCACCGCAGAGCAAATGAGCACGGCCGTGGTGAAGGAGTTCAGCAGCGTGGCCCGCCGAAAGCAGTGGAGCACGGGCACGGAGGGGCTCTGCGGCTGCACGACCATGTACATCATAAGCCGCAAGGCCGTGTACGCCACGCACTGGTTTGAGAACGTCTCGTTCGACCCGGACCCCGAGTGGCGGAAGGCCGGAGAGTCCAAAGATGATGTCTTCGAGGCAACTGTCCTGGACATGTTGGCGGAAGGCGGGACGAACCATCCGCCTCTAGACCCGGACGTGATCGAAGACGAGCATATCCACGCTTATTTGATACACCCGAAACAGACGTGGGAGGAGAAGAAAGGCGATGTGGGTTATCCAAAGCAGTGGGACGCGATTCGGAAGAAGGTGGGGGAGCTTGTGCCTACCTTGCAGGTTGAGGAGCGGTGGACGGATATCGCGTACAAGTCACTGGACACAAATGACGATGCGTTCAACCATCCAGATATAATCTGGGGGAGGAACTTGTTTAAGTATGACCCGATGCATATTTTCGAGCCTGGGGTGAAGGGTAAGTTGGCGATGTTGTGGGTTGAAGACAAATTGTATCATGAGGATCAATGGTAAGTGGGCGAAATTGTCGGGTTGGTTGGGGGTCCAGGGGTAATTGAGGGTGTTACCGAGTAATAGTACCACTGTCTGTGCCTGTTGTGGTTGTTGTAGTTCTTCTTAGCTTTTCAGGAAATGGCATGACCCTTGGATAAAGTGCTCGATGAAAATCAGAAGTTCTGTACACATCTAGGTATCCCGCCGTTGGCTGGTTCGGGAACATAGTAGAGTTAGCATAGTCTTATTATAACTACATGATTTATAATAGTATTATAATAATATAATAAGTAATTATAAAATTATAGTATTTTTTAAAAATTTATATATATAATAAATATAAAAAATACAAGTAAAATATAATTACTTACTAAAAATATATAAGTTGTGTTTATATACTGCGCTAAGCTTAGGAGAACATGAATTACTATAATAAGAAAGGCGTTGTATATTTATAGTAGGAATTAATTGCTATTTTTTTAAGTTTAAGTTTTAAGTTAAACTTAGTATTTTATATATTATATAACTGGCCGCTGCCTTAATATATAGCTAATTTAATATTAAAATCTTTTTATTTAGCGGCCTTAGGCCGCTAGATTATATTATTTTAATATTATATAGTTATAATATTATAATAATAATAATAATACTTTTTTTAAGTAATTATATTCTTGTAATTTATAAATTTATTTTTTTATTTTATAAAATATAATTTAAATTATAAATCTTATTAAGTGCTATAAAATAAGCTATTTTAAAATATATAAGTTATTATAGTTTATATATAATTTATATTTAAAGTTAAGTATAAAAAATTAATTTAATTACTTTATTTTACTTTTAAATTTAAATATAATCTTATTACTTATAATAGCTAGGTATAATATTTTAATTTTAATACTAAAATACCTTTATAATTTTTTTTAAGTTTTTTTTATAACTTAATTAAAAGTACCTACTATAAGTATATACCTTTTTATTATATTTTTATTACTTTTTAATTATTAAATTATATTCCTGGGGTTAAAATATTTTATATTTACTTTTTTTATATTTTTTAAATATTATATTATTTATTTTAATAATATTAATTATATATTAGTATTATTAGGCTTGTATATTTTATTTTATTTTATACTTAGTTTTTATAATAAAGCTTTAAGCTTTAAATAGCTAAACTTTTTTATTTTTACACTTTTTTTAATATTTTTAATAGCTATTTATAATATATAATTATTTTATTTTAGTTATTAATATATTATTATATTAGCTTTTTATTTACCTTTTTTATGCCTTGCTGCGCACTTACCTTTTTAATTCAACCTTTATAACTCTTAGTAATCTAGGGGTACCTTTAAATAAGGGCTCTGGATACCTTAAAAGTCATAAATATATATTTTTACTATTTTAATTTTATTTTTAACTTTTTTTTTATTACTCCCCATGGTGTAATAATTAAAATTAAGGTATATACCCTTAATTAACTTACAGGCCTTAACTTAGCTAACTTTATATGGTTATAAAACCCCTTATTTTTTTTAACCTTTATATTATAAAAAAAATAAAAAAAAAGGGCCCTAGCAAGCCTATTTTTTTTATTATTAAAAATAATAGTATATTAACTTTTTAGCCTAGCCTAGTTATAAAGGCCCTTTATAATTAACTTAATAAGTAAAAGTACTAGGCATATATTAAGTATAAAGTTTTTATAAGCTTTATAATTATTATTAATAATTTTATAGCTAGGTAAAAAACTTAGGACTAGTAAGCCTTATAATATTTATAATAAATTTATATATTTTATTTTTTTAAAGGGCTATATTAATATTAATAATATTAATTATATTTTTTATATATATATATATATAATTAGCTTGTTATTATAATAACTTTTAGTAAGATTATTACCTAGGGGGAAATAGGTTTAATTTTAAAAAACTTAAGGGCTTAACCTACCCCTCCTAAAGTAAATTTTTTTGCCTTAATTAATATTATTTTAGGTAAGGTAGCCCCCTTAAGCGCCTTAATAACCTAATTAGCATGTAATAGCTTTATTATAGCCTTAATAATATAAAATAATTATAAAATATTAATTACCCTTTTTAATAATAAGCTAATAACACGCCTAAAAATATATATTATTTAATAGGCTTTTATTAAGTACATGCTAGGCTTAATTATAATTATAACTATTTTTAAAATTAATATTACCTGCATGGGCTAGGCTATTATTTTTAATAATTTTTTTCTTAAGAATCTTTTAGTAGCTAATAAAATAATTAATATAATTTATTATACCCTAGGCATTATAAATATATATATATATTAAAAATAATATAACTACATGGTGTAAAAAGTGCCTAATATTATTAAAATATATAATAATAATAAAATAAATATTATTAAGCTAATTTAAAATAAGGTTAAAGCCTAAACTAAACTAAAGCTAGTTAAGCTTACTTTTTTAAAATATAGGCCTAACCCTAACACTAGGTATATTACTTAAATAATATTTTTTTAAAATAGCTTAAGACCTTTATATTATTTAACTAAAGTAAGTATTATTAACTTATTAAAAAATACTAGCTAGTTTTTTAGTATAACCCTAGCTATTAAAAATATTACTACCTAATATATTATAACCACGTAGCGTGTTATATATATAATAATATAATAATTATAAATTACTTAGGTTTTATTAGCCTAAATTATTAAAATCCCGTGTGCTGCGTGAATTACCTAGGTTTATAATTAATAAAGTATAATAATTACCTAATAGCCCCCAGGCATAAAAATAAAATCTTAGTTTACTTATTTAAAAAAAAACTTAATAGCATGCGCTGCTACGGCGCCTGCTAATATTAAAATATATATATTTAAGCTAATATAAATATCTAGCTTTAAATTAAAATTAAATAATTTTTATTTTAAAATTTTTTTAAAAGCATGCTATAAAAAAACCTAAGGTAAATAAGCAGGGCTTTATAATAGTTATTAATTACTATATTTTATAATTTAACACCTTTGCTAGGAACTAAAACCTTAAGTAACTTTTTATTAAATTAATTTAGCCTGCCCTAGCTAGCGTGGACATGCCTTCTTTACCCTAAATAATAAAAATTAATACTAAATCCCCCTTTAAACTTTAATAATAAAGTATTAAAAAAGAAACCGCGGTAACTACTACTAAAATAATACTTAATAATAATAGGATTTTATTATTTATTAGGTAAATATAAGTAGGTTTATATTTAATTATACTATAATTTTATAGCTAGCCTATAAATAAAACTATAATATTACTTATATTTAAAAGCCCTGGACCGCCGCAGGTATAAAAACTTAAAATTACTTAATATATAAGTATTATATGTTAATAAACGCCTGGAATAACCATAAAAACTAGTTAAAAAAAGCGCCTTAAAGTACTTACCTATATTTATAAAAAAAAGCGCTATATATTAAATAATATTACTTAATATAAAGCTAGGATATACTATAGCTTATAATAAATAATATTAAGGTTTTAAATATATATAAAAAACTAATTACTTATAAGATAATTAATTACCTAGTTATATTAATTTTTATTTTAAATTATATAATTAACAGGGACCTTAATATTATTTATAATATTTTTAAGCCTAAAGTAAATAACCTATATTATAGCAGCAAGATTACTAAATAAGCTAGTAATAATAATATTAATTATATTAATAAACTAGGCGTGGTTATATATAAAGCTAGTTATATTTTTAACCTAACCTTTTTAAATATTTTTTTAATTACATGCTAGTAATACCCAAGTTATATAATAGCTTTAATTATTAAACTTTAGTTATTATAATACCAGGGCGCAGGAAAAAAATATTAAAATAATATTATTATAATTTATTAAACTATAAGTTAAAATACTTAGCTAAACTAGTTAAAAATAAAATAATATTTTTACCTTAACCTAGGGAGCTTGAGGGCGTGAAAATACTAGATTAATATACTAAGTTTTTTAGTAATATTATTATAAAAGTTATATAAGCTATAAATAAATACCCTAACCTAGGAAGCCGCGGTGCTTTTTAGTAGTTAAATAAATATATAAAAAATTATTATGCCTGGGTGGTAAACCTTATTTAAAAAAAATAGCTTTTAGCTATAATTTGCAAGACTAAGCGCGCGTATTAAACTAAAATAATTAATAATATTAAAAATAACTAAAAGCTATACTAAATAATAATTTAGTATAAGCTAAAGCCTAGGCTTAAAGCTCCCCTATTACTAGCTAATAATAAAGTAGTTAAAAACACGCGGGAAAAAGTTAATATTTTATAAAAGTAGTACTAAAGTAATTTAGTATAAATAATAACCTAAACTTTAATCCCCTAGTATTAAAATATTAGCAGGGAAATAAGTACTTATATTAACTAAAAAAAATCTTATTAAAAAAAATTAAAAAAAAATATTATTAGTGTAAGCAGCACCTTTCCTGGAGTAGACTAGGTAATTATTTATATTTTAAAGGCTTGTTAAAAGTATATTAAGCAGGTTATTTATAAGTTATATAACTAATACTTATAGTTAAAATACTTCTTTTTTATTATAAAAGCTTATAAAGGTAGTAATACCTTTAAAAAGTAATAAAAAAAATAAGTTTTTACCCTAGTTTTAGTGCCTTATAACACTACTTTTAATATTAAAAAAGGGACTTAAATAAATTATAATATACTATATTACTTTTACCATGCTAGTATAAGGGGTATAAAGCTTATAATAATATAATACTTTATTTAAGCACTTGGCTATAAACCTAGTAGTTTTTTTTATTATAATATAAAAATAATACTCTCGCGGAACTAGAAGGTTATTATAATTATTATAAATATTTTAGGCACCTTTAATATTATTTTATTATAATACTTGCTTTAATAAATAATAAAGCAAGGCTAGCCTTATATACTTTTAGCCTTAATTATAAGCTTTTTTAATAAATAAAGCATAAAAGTACACCAAAAATTTATTATAAT